GGAACCAAGATTGGAAACAAGAGGTTCGGATGGTTCAGACGTTTATTATGGAAGTATAGGTATCTGGATTGAGCTAAATCGGAAACATATGGTAAATTAAGGTCTTTATGGATGATTTTATTTGTGGCTAAGTAGGGAGCATTAAGGATTTTACAAAGGATTTTGGATTGTAAGGATTGGATACGAGAGGAAATAAATGGTTTAGTAGAGCCCCATAGCTCATCTCCATAAGTCCATAGACCTTATTATAATAATATATATAGGTATTTAGTAATATGTAGAAAGTTTAGAGCGTATTCAGAAGCTTAACGGTTTGATAGAATTTCGATGTATGAATATTATAAATTAAATAAAATAGTTGATTTTTGCAACTTTTTAAGATGTGAATTAAACAACTTTACATATTTCCGGTTTTTATTGCACATTTTGCGTTTTCGCTGCACGTATTTTCGAATTTTTACTGCACGAAGATCCGGTCTCCAATTATAACCACGAAAAAATCGTCGCATGATTTAATTATAAGCGCAAAATAAATAAATTAAGTTACACGCTTGATACGAACTTATTCCATTCAATAGTATTTATCAAAACGTAAACTCTGTAAAATAAATTGCTTACATATATTCTCTTATTTAAAAGTATGAGAGATTTTTCTTTTTATATATTTCATGTCACTTAATATAACTCAAAATATACTTGTTTTGTCATTACCTATGTATATAATGGTTAGATTCATATTACACTGACAGGCGAAAAATTCCACCCACTTGATTTTTTCATGTTTTCATCTAAAAATATTTCTGCTTTGGATTGGTCTATTGTTTTTAATGAATAAATGGGTAATCTTTTTGTTTGTTTTCAATTAGGAATGTCAACATAGAGGACAATAACCCTTAATCCTTAATTCAATGAAATGATTCTAGATTTTAATGTTTACTTTCTATGGAATCAAAATGTTTATTCAGTATCATCAGTATCAGTGCCGTTTCTTGCAGCACATTTCTTAGTCTCCGGCTTTTAATTTTTTCAATATTAAGTTTAAAAATGTCTCTTAGTGCTGAGGATGTGGTGGCACTTATTGATGATGGACATTCCATTAGATATGCAGCTAATGCCATCGGAGTTCCATGTGAAACTTTACGAGACGCCGTCAGGCATTTTCGGGAAACTGGTTCTTACAATAGAAGGCCCGGTTCTGGACGGCCTAGGGTAACAGAACCACGGGATGACCGGTTTTCGACTTTGAGAATTTTACGAAACCGGCACCTTACCGTTGTTCAAGCGATTCATCAGCTCGAAGAAGTTCGAGGTGTGCAAATTTCTGAACGTACTGTTTGGAGAAGATTAAATGAGTATGGATTAATGGCTTTCCTCCAGTAAGAGGACCAGAGTTGACCAGAACTCACAGAGTAACACGGCTGGCTTTTGCTCGAGAACACAGCCATTGGACTATGGACGAATGGAATGCTGTACTTTTTACAGATGAGAGATTCGCTCTTCGATCTCCAGACAGGCTTGAAAGGGTGTGGAGAAGAAGAAACGAAAGATATGCAGCCTGTAATTTTTCCCAGAGCCAATCTTTCCAACGTGGTTCCTTAATGGTGTGGGCTGGGATTTCAATGGAGCGCCGCACAGAATTGGTTGTTGTCAGAGGGTCTTTGACGGGCAGATAGATTTGACGGCTATGTAGATGAGATTTTGGAACCTCACGTGTTGCCTATCCTCAACGAAATCGGCGATCGTTCTATTCTAATGCACGATAATGCACGCCCACATGTCGCCCGCATAGTGTAGACGTTCCTTCAACAGAACAATATTGAGGTTTTAGCCTGGCCAACACGTTCTCCAGATTTGAACCCCATTGAGCATTTATGGGATAACCTCGGCAGATGAATAAGAGCGCGTGCAAAACTTCCTGATACACTGCAGGTCCTTGAAAGGGCTCTTCGGGAAGAATGAACTATCCTCCAGCAAAGATATACTAAGAGGCATTTTTAAACTTAATATTAAAAAAATTAAAAGCCGGAGACTAAGAAATGTGCTGCAAGTAACGGCACTGAACTAATGATACTGAATAAACATTTTGATTCCATAGAAAGTAAACATTGAAATATAGAATAATTTCATTGAATTAAGGATTAAGGGTTGTTGTCCTCTATATTAACATTCCTAATTGAATACAAACAAAAGATTACCTATTTATTCATTAAAAACAATAGGCCAATCCAAAGCAGAAATATTTTTAGATGAAAACATGAAAAAATCAAGTGGGTGGAATTTTTTGCCTGTCAGTGTATAAAGAAACTTATTTAATATTTTTCTAGTATTTTTGCTCGAATTTGCTTTGCAAATGTTCGCCCATGACCCTCCTGCAGGTCCTCTTTATGGCGGAAGGGCACTAATAATCCGACAGGTCCGAGACAGTTATTTATGACACTCCAATATAAAGGTAAAAGTCCAGGTAAAAGGAGAAAAGAAAAACTTGGAACTTTGCAATTCTAATAAATTAAATAAATACTTTCTCAGATATCAGTTAATTCCTGAACTTGAAGTCATAGGGGCAGACATTTAATTGTGGTTTGGAGAGAGGGGGGGGGTGACGAAGACCAAAAAAAAAAAAAAAAAAGAAAATGGCGGTTTATATGATATATAAAAATTATGTAAAATTAGAAATATATAAAATCAACATAATTATTGTGATACGAACAAAATAAATTAATGAATTTTTTTTTTTATTTGTAATCGCCTCTAACCTAGAGGGTCACTGGCGGCTAGTTTTCTATATTCTATTGTAATATTTCGTCTCTATTAAGTATCGGAATAGGGTGGTGACTCCATCTTCGTTGTCTCTTAATATCTCTTTCATTGTTATTGGTAGTTTCAATTTTGCCGAATGTTGTTGAACTCGTTGCACTCTACTAACAGATGTTTTACTGACTGCGGTTTATTGTCACACTTTTGGCACGTGGGTGGTTTTAGTACTCTGAGAAGGTACCCGTGGATAAACAGGCAGTGACCAATTCGTATTCTGCACAATATTGTTTCTTCTCTTCTGGATATTCTTGTGCTACTAGCCCACTTGTTGCAGCCTGCTTTTATTTCCAATAATTTTGACTGTCTGTTTTCCATCTATTTACCCAACTTCTTTTTTGTTGCGTGTACCCAGTCCTCCAATGTGGTAAAGTTTATTGAAATTATGGCTGGTGCCTCTCCCTTCCTTGCTAAGTTAGCTGCTTGGTCTGCTCTTTCATTGCCTGTGATGCCACTATGAGATGGAACCCAGACAAATATCACCAATGGAGGGCCTCCATGATCGCAGTAGCTTCTCCAGTAAATATGGAGCTCTCTCCAGGTAAGCTAAATAGAAGTTGGTGCTGGTTGTTATTAATATATACAGCGCAGCAACACTATTTTCCATTTTGTAGGCATCGGTATGTATCACATTATAACCTTTGTATTTCTCTAATAATTCAAAAAAGTAGTTTTGGATATCCAGTGGGTATTCTTTGTTACGTCTTGTCATTGATACATCTATAGTCTGTCTACTGTTCTCCCAGTTAGGAATTTTGAGGTTAGAGATGGGTCTAATTGTGTTCAAATCCATGTTCACATTATATAGCGTTTCATAAATCATTTGTTTAAATGTGCTTTCCTCTATTTCCTTAAGCCCTCGCCTACCAGATCCTTCATCAAATAGTTTTGAACTCAAGGGGTGTTGTGGGTATTTAATATTTAAAAACAAATTTATTAAATTATATATCATTTTTTTTAATCCTATGGCTACATTACAAGTAATTGATTTAAGTCAAATTATAACTCTATTATATATTATACTCTTTATTTCTCATCTAAAAAAGCCCTTTTTTAAGAACTTAAGTAAATAAAATTTAAACTTTTACAATAAACATAAATGTTTCCTAGAACTTTTTAAATTAATCTTTCTAACACAATTAAATTTGATTTATTTATTAACAAGTAAATCAGCTGATATCATCAATCTGCCTTACACTTACAATACAGCCATAAACTGTTTCATTCCTAGTTTATTTACATTTTACTTATATATTTTTAATCGCCAATAATAAAATAGTTACAAATTTCAACATACTATTTGCACATTTTTTATAAATAAGTATATATCATTGGAATCAAAATTCTTATATTTATTTCAAACACAACATAAATATCCAAACTATTACAATTAATAAATTATAAAAACTAATGAAAGTAAAAATGGTTTTTCATCAGGCGCATGAGCTATCCCCCCTCCTTGGTCGTTTTACCCCCACTCCTGTCAACCTTTTGCACTTACCTGCTTTTCCCAACTTTTAGTCAGTCAATTTCCCAGCTTGCCAGCTTCAATACATCATGTCTGCTGCTACCAGGTCAGTTATGTTACATATTACTTTTACTATCACTAATAGTTAAGATTATTTCAGGACTCATATATTTAGAATATGTATTCTTCTTGAACTTAATATTAAGCCTGTGAATATTTTTAATAGATCGGTGTTTACTTCTTTAAAACTCTTAAGTCATGTTCAATAAAATAAAAGTTTATGTTCACTCATTTACTTAAATATTTATATGTGTTTTTGATAACGTCAAAGATTTCTCAATATTCCAGATAAAAGATTTCAAATTTTCAATTATTCTTAAATGGTAATATAGTTCTTTTCTATTAAAAAATTTGTTTTGATGGACTTAAAAGATTTTAAAGGTATTATCGATCTTATATTTTTTTATTGTATTTATTTTCTTTGTTTTTATTCACTCTGGGAATTTGTACTCGTATTTTTTTCCTAAAAATTTCCATTTTGTGATCTTGAATAGTTTCTTGTGATATCTTCAGTTCCAAATATTCTTAGACTTTAGTAGAGTTCATGATGGATTATTATTTTTCTTTTTGGATCAAAGTTTTTCAATTTGTTGTCAAATGTATTCAAATAAAATGAATATGTTCCAAGTATTCTTAGAATTTAAAATAGTAAAAATAGTAAATTATTGTTTTTTTAATCAACGTTTCTTCATTTGTTGTCATATAAACTCGATTCAAATCATCTTCAATGTCACCTCCCAAAAAAGTACTTTTTCAAAAGTTGGATTATATGATTAATATTTTTGTCTTAATTTCTTTCTTTTCTTAAGTTGGATATCTTGATTTATCTAGATATTTACTATTGTATTTTTAAAATATTCAACTTCCATTTTAATTTTATTATTAAAGTTTAGAAAGAATTGATAATTTAATTTGATTATTTTACCGTGCTTAAATGTTTTGTATTTAATCTGATAATCTAGCTCTCTATTCAAGTCATTTATTTTAGAACATATTAATTTTAATTAGTAAATAATAATAGTTTTAAAACTGGAAATAACTTTTGGATCCGTCCAAAATCGTTATTTATTTCTCTGTACAGAATTGTTATAAATGTTTAGTTAGCCTAAATTAATATTATCACTATTTACTTGCAAGGATATCAAATTGATAATTTGACAGCACTATCAATAAATCGATATTGGACACTATCATTAAGAAATGTTAATAGCGGTGTATATTGGGTGATTTGTATTAACCATGGTTTAGATTTTTTATTTAAGGAATGTGTGTTAGTATTTTGTGTTGATGTGTTTTGCTGAACCACGAAATTTTACCGTGTTTCATTCGAGTAGCTTATTTCTAAAGTAAATTCTAATAGATTTTTTAAAAAATTTAAATAAGTATTGATTCCTAAGTAAAAACAGTGAATCCGATGATGCAATTTTTTTCCAGCAATAAATCGAAATATTAAAAAAAAAATTGTGTAAAAAATAGTTTATTCCCAAAACCGTTTTTTTTTTTGGTGGAATTTTATGATACTTGCATTTATTAAACATTCTTTAAAAATAAAGCTTTTTTGATCGATTTATGCAAATGTAAATTAAATATACGTATATTTTTTTTACTGTGAATATTGCTTTTGATGTTATAATTAGAATGGGAAATATAGTTTTTCTCGTTTCCTCAAAAATTGTTGACAATCAATAAGAATTACTGCGGAAATAAACGACTCTATTAATATATTTTCAATTTATATCAAGCATGTGAATATTTTTAATAGATCGGTGTTTATTTATTTAAACCTTCTAATTCCAGCTCAATAAAATAAAAGTCTTGTAACTTATGGCCACTCATTTACTTAAATATTTAAGTATGCTTTTGATAATGTCAAAGATTTCTCAATATTCCAGATAAAAGATTAACAAAATTTCAATTATTCTTTAACGATAATATAGTTCTTTCCTGTTTAAAAATTTGTTTTGATGGATTTAAAAGATTATAAAGGTTTTATCGATCTTATATGTTTTTGTTGTATATATTTTCATTGTTTTGATTCACTTTGGAAACCCGTGCTCGTATTTAAATATTTAAAAAAATTGTGTAAAAATTAGTTTATTTCCAAAACCGTTTTTTTTTTTTTTTTTTTTTTTTGTGGAATTTTATGATACTTGCATTTATTAAACATCCTTTAAAAATATAGCTTTTTTGATCGATTTATGCAAATGTAAATTAAATATACATATACTTTTTTTCCTGTGAATATTGCTTTTGATATTATAATTGGAATAGAAAATATAGTTTTTCGCGTTTCCACAAAAATTGTTGACAATCGATAAGAATTACTGCGAAAATAAACGATTCTATTAATATATTTTCAATTTATATCAAGCCTGAGAATATTTTAATAGATCGGTGTTAACTTATTTAAACCTTCTAATTCCAGCTCAATAAAATAAAAGTCTAGTAACTTATGTCAACTCATTTACTTAAATATTTATGTATGCTTTTGATAATGTCAAAGATTTCTCAATATTCCAGATAAAAGATTAACAAAATTTCAATTATTCTTTAACGATAATATAGTTCTTTCCTGTTTAAAAATTTGTTTTGATGGATTTAAAATATTATAAAGGTATTATCGATCTTATATTTTTTTTATTGTATATATTTTCTTTGTTTTGATTCACTTTAGGAACCTGTGCTCGTATTTAAATATTTAAAAAAAATTGTGTAAAAATTAGTTTATTCCCAAAACCGTTTTTTTTTTTTTTTTGGTGGAATTTTATGATACTTGCATTTATTAAACATCCTTTAAAAATATAGCTTTTTTGATCGATTTATGCAAATGTACATTAAATATACATTTTTTTTTTCTGTACCATTTTTATATATACAAAACGTTAGTATTTTATTTTACAACTTTAATAACTATTTTCTTCCCGAATTATACAGTATTTTTATCAATACCGCAAAACAAACACCAATCAACCTTTGTTTTGTTCAAACAAGGGTCTTGAAGTTTATTTCTTCCTTAAAAGGTTTTTCCTTTTTCAGAATCCTTCGATGCTTTTTATTACTTCTGGAATAATCAGTGATTTTCGGAAAGATGTCTTCAAATTAACAATTTCTTAATTTTTTTTTAAATATTGGTTTTTTTATTATAATTGGAATAGAAAATATAGTTTTTCGCGTTTCCTCAAAAATTGTTGTCAATCAATAAGAATTACTTCGGAAATAAACGACTCTATTAATAAATTTTTAATATAATCACTAGTTACTTGCAAGAAATGTCGATAATTCGATAGCACTATAAATAAATTCGATTATTGTGCGATTTTTCGGTTAAGATTTTTTTTTTTATGAATATCAGAATATTAGTATTTTGTGTTGATGTATTTTGCTGTATAACTAAGCTTTGCTCTGTATGTTCCAATATGTCTTATTGGTATTATAAGAGAGTCTTGATTCGGTAGTCGAGTTAAGATTTGTAGCTCAGAAGATGTGATAGTTAATTTTATCGTCTTGTCAGTTCTTGTCTTTTTTAATTTTCTATGAATTTTCCAAAAAGTCTTATGTCAAATAATGATATCTCCAAAGAGAAGTTAACGTGATATTCTGCCGAAGTTTACTTTAAACACGTTACAAATTTTTTCTCTTAAATATATTTAAATTTAACTATCAGTAATACCTCCGCTGATAAAGAATGAGCTTCAACTGTAATAATTTAAATGAAATACTTACATCTTAAATTGAAGTGCATGGTGAATTATTAAAAATACGTTCTTGTCTATAGGCTTTGTAAATAATTTTTTTTCTTTTATTATAATCTTTCCTTATATCGTTTTTCTCAACATAATTTTCAATCCAAGACTTGTTTTTTCCTGATTCTTTATTCTATCAGATGTATTTAGCTGTGCAATTAAGCTTTGCTCTCTAGGTTCTGACATGTCTTATTGATATGGAAGTCGTTTAGATTAGAAGAGAGTTTTGATTCAGTAGTCGATGAAACATTTGTAGTTCAGAAATTTTGTACGAATGTTTCAATTATGTCTTAAGTCAAATAATGTTATCTCCAAAAAGAAGTTAACGTGATACGCATAAATTTATTTTATACACTAGTTGCCAATTTTTTCTCTTGAATATATTTAAATTTAATTTACAGTAATACTTCCGCTGATAAAAAATGAGCTTTAACTGTAATAATTTAAATGAAATACATACATCTTAAATTGAAGTGCTTGATGACGTGTAAGAAATACGTTCTTGTCTTTAGGATTTGTGAATATTATTTTTTTTTTCTTTTGTAATCTTTACTTATATTGTTTTTCTCAATATGATTTTCAAACCAAAACTTCTTCTCTGATTATTCTGTCAGATTTTTCTCATTAATCATTCCATTTTAACTTTTTTGTTTTTTAAACACTCTAATTAATTGAGGTTACTTTATAAAAGTTTTCTTTTGAAGATGTTCTGTTAACTTCTATCGGCTCTATAATAGCAAGTCCGCCATCAGTTAATCTATGGACTGAAGCAAAACAATAAAACAAACCCCTCCCCCTCACATTATAAATTAATTTATTATATTTTTATCAATAACGCTAACATTTTATGGAAACTTAATTTATTAGTTTATTTTGTTACTTAAAATAAAATCCTGTTTACGAAATTACTTAATAATGATTGTATAATTACTTAAGTGTTCATAATAACATGTTTAGTACTCGAGTCGTATTTCATTCATAAAATTATTTTTCTCTTCTATTTGGCAAAAGTTTGAATAATTGAATCAAAATTCACTCTATATTAGTCATTAAGTTACATTTCAATATCGCTAAAAATTTAAATGGATCTTCCCTTTGTAAAATCCGAAAATTTTGTCTCTGTTGTAACTATATTTGATATTTATAAAAAGGGGTTTTACTGCACTATTTTTTTATCAGTAAATACGAATGAAATTAATTTTTCCAATCGTTTATATAAGTTAATCTTCATCAGAAATGTAATGACTTTTTGCAATAAGCTGAATAAATATAATTTTTTTTTTAATATATTGTTTAAAAATTAATTTACTAATGAAATACGATCGGTATCACAAAAAAAATAAATAAATATATAGTAGATATACATGCTAATAATAATAATAATAATAACCTTAAATTTTCTTCTCTCAATAGCCATGAGACATCCACATAAACATTATTTGATTAAAACAAACAATTCCTTGAATTTGTAATTAATGCGAAGTAATTACGTCATTGGTTTTTCCTAAAAGAAAGTTGTTATCTAGAAATAACCATGGCTGTCTAGATAGCTCCTGTTATGTACGATATAAATCGATCTTCAAAGACAATTTTATAATTACGGATGATTATTTCATCATTCAATCTGTAATTTTAAATATCAATAATTAATTCCTAGTATTATGGAGACAGCTGGCTATAAAACCATTTAAAATATGAGATCCTTCTGTTCTATTTCGACTCCAATATTTACCTTTCCATAAAAACGTAATGGCTGACTCAGTGTAATATTTTCTTATGTAGCAGATTTTCCCTTGGGATATTAATTCCCCTCAATTTTTTTAGGTGAGCTCATTTTGAAATCTCTTATATTATTTAATTAATATTTGTTTTTGTATGTTTTTTTTTATTTTAAGTTATTTTGATTTATATCAAACATTGTTTGTTTTGAATGTCAAATGAAGTCAACATTTTCCATCAACGTTGTTTATTTTAAAGTTTGTTTTTTTAAAAGTTAGAATTGAAAGTATAACTTGCTCTTACTTCAAATGGATTGTATGTAATAATTGTTTTTGATAAATTATACTTTTAATTCTGGAACAATGTCAACCATCCTATTATTATTATTATTTTTTGATTTATTAGTATACGTTGGTTAAGTACAGTATTTAGTAAGTTAAAGTAGTCAAAATTTGTTAGCCAGTCTTTATATAATAGATTTGTCCAATGTTCTTTAGAGTTTCTTAGACCTTGACCTGTCCTTGTTTAGGTTTAGTGTTGTTTTTTTCATAACCATCGTATTATTTTATGTTATTGTGTTCACAGGCAGTATGGGACTCCAAAGTGCATGTCATCTAACCTGTACTTTAGATGAAGCAATTATCTGTTTATTATCCCATACAATTATAATTATGAAATCTTCCTTCAGGAGAAACATGCTCAGGAGGGGTTCCATTTGTGCTTGTATTTTATCGGAGTATGGGTAAAGAAAAACGAGTTTGATGGATTTAGTTTCAGGTACATGACACCTAAAGAATCCACCAAGATGAAAGACCACCACATTAAACACAGGCACCGCCAAGATTCTGATGAACACGTTCACAAGAAATGTCGTAGGAAAGGAGAAAAATCCATGGAAGACAGTCGTGATCATCATAGCAGAAAAAATGACCATAATGAGCGCAGGAGAGGTCATGAACATTCTGAAAAATCAAGTGTCAAACGCAAAGAAATTAACCAAGAACCACTTGATGAAAATATTACCCGCAAAAAGCATAAGTAAGTACAAAAAATTATTTATTTTATTAGTTGTAGACTAATTGAACTTTATTAAATTGTAAACGGGTACCAGTTCACTAGTGTCATATCATGATGATTCATGGTCCAAGATCACTCAAATCTCACTCTGCATGAAGTGCTTGACAATCCCTCCTGATAACTACAATGTTTACATTAGGTTAGGTTATAATTCATTCACTTTTAATCTATGATTTTGAAAGCTTTATCTTAGGAGGTTAGATAACATTGTTTTTCAAAGAAATATTAATGAATAATAATTTCATAATGTTGAATTTTCTATTATATCAGAATATATTTCAAATCTATTATTATTTATGTACAAGTTAGGTAATTATTTAGATGAGGACAGCACCGGTTACTCATTGTTCACAATCATTTCGGTCACACTTCTTCATGGAGTCCCGAATTCATACAGGTTTATCCGAAATGATTGTGAACCACATATAATCTATGTGGTCCTCATCTAAATAATTACCACAATTTAGTTATGATAAGTGGAATGCAGGTATTTTTTTTTTGATCTATATATTTATTAATTTATATTGTTATGTTATGAAGTTCAACATTTTGATTGATTGTATTTTTAGTTATTTTAGTTAGTATACACAGTTTAAATTACAATTATCTTTGACCCTATTCATTATAGTTTAATATTAATTAATGGGTACTAAATATAACCTACGTTAAGTCAGTTCACACTTATCTATTTTTTCTAATAGGAAGGTGTGAAAGTGATTAATGAATAATATGCATCCTTAAATCTCAGGTAGTTACAATTCTTAAGATTAATCACTGTAATCTTTTGGACAAACTTGGCTTTCTATGTATGGTGTGATCATTTGATCTTGCCCCTTATATTTCCAAATTTGATTTTAGTGGTGCATGCTTTTTCATGTCCAACATCTCAATTATGTTTATAATTTCTAGGTAAATTTGTTATTGCCAGTTTAAATTATCCTTCCTCCACCTCCTTTTTGTTCCTTTATAACTGAAGTTCTTTTAAGACTTCAGTGTCTCTATGACTTCAATTGAGGCACTGAAATAACTTAAACGAGTTGAATAGTCTTAACAGCTTGCAAAGAGCCTTTTGAGGTGATACTATTATATATCGTATAAATAAAGATTTTATTTTACAATATGTTCAGAAACAGAGTTCTGACTACCTGGCCTGAATTTAGTATCCCTGTTCGGAATTTTAATCTAGATCGTTCAGCAAAAGAAGTTAGCTTGTTCACAATATTGGTCCAATTTTTTTTATTTTTTTTGGCAAACTTTTGATTAATTTTTCATTTATTAGTTAATTTTTTTTTTATCGATCCCTTTAATGTTTGTTTGCCTAGTAGATTAAATTATGTTAGAGTAAGTTCCCAATATTTTGTCTATATCAATGCAATTCCGTTCATGCACAAGAATTAGATATCGCTGTAGAAAAAGCATATGTGAATAGTTCATTTATTATTTCAAATTTTTTAGTCCTGATGATGACCCACATGTTTTGAGTTGAAACGGCAAAAATAAAAAAAAGATGTTAATAATGACTGCGTCCTGAATATTTATCACCCATGATATGTAGAACAGTCATAGGTAGAACTTCCTTCAATAATTTATTATTTTGATTTTGTAATTTTATATTATTTCGCTATATTTGTATTTTTATCAGTTTCTTAACATGGTTACATTACCCTTGGATGTAGTTTACTTAAGTCCACTGTTACTTCAACCACCTAAAATTAACAGTATCAATAACTAAGGATAATTTGTATGGTCTATTATGCTACTGATTTTTAAAATGCATAGTAAATATATATATATATTCAGTATTTTATTAAATATGTCATTAAAATGCTGTTTTCTTAGAATCTTAAGCATTATCTTTTAGAAAACAGACAAACTGAGATAAACAGTTACTGTTATTTTATAGTTTTTTATTTTGTTTTTGTTAGTTTTTTATTTATAGTTTCAAGTTGTGATGAATTAACCCGTATTCATGTACGGCTGTTGTGTTACTTCCACCTATGATTGTCATTAATATTTTGATACAAAATTTTTTATGGCCTTTTTTATTTTTATTTTTTACATGTAAATCTATATTAATGTAAAATTTTTCTTTGTATTTTTTAAGGTCTGCTACTCACCCTCAAAATGTACCTAAGTCAAAATGGGAAAATGATGAAAACGATAGGTAAGTTTCTCTAACTGTTTTAATGATTTATAATTTTGATTTTATAATTTATAAAAATAACGAAAAATAGTTCAAGGTTTTTTCTGTTTTCTTTTTTACTAAAGGGGATAACTCCTAGATAAGTAATCCGTGGCCTTTTTTTATTTTTATTTACTGAAAAATTAATTTAGTTTGCAAAATGCAAATATAAACCTACTTGCTGAAAGTATTTCATCGATAGCAAACTTTTATTGTGTCAATAGTGTTTTTTTTTTTTTTTGTTTGGAAAATATTAGAATTTAAATTTATTCCTTTTATGCCTGTACATGCCTCCTGTATCTAATAAAATAAATAAATAAAGCAAATTATTAATGGGAGCAAAATTAAAAAAAAAAAAACCATTATTAGTTTATTATTATTGAATAATTTATAAATCAAACTGTTTAAGAGAAGTATTTTTTCACTTGTTGATGTAAGATGTGCTATCTTTGGTTTGGCATTAATATGGTTTTATATTCGCCCTAAATCAACGAAAGATTCGCTGGTTAATTATTAATATAAGAAAACAATTATATAACTCTCTTAATTCAAATCAGGAATATTTATTGTTCTTGGAATAAAAATCTGTCAATTATAATGATAATAATAATTATTTTTAATAATGTCAGTTATTTAAACTAAAATATTTGATTTGCTTTGCCCTTATGACAACTTTAAAGAAGGTATTTACAAATATCTGAATGATATTGAATAAAATGGAAAAAAATAAATATAATTATCTACAAAATAATTTATTTCATCAGATCTTAAAATCAATAAGATAAACCTCATGTAATAAGTTTAATTAATATATTTATTTCCTATTTAGTCGAGGAAGTGATTGGAGAGGAGAAGAAAAGTGGGGAAAAGTTGAGGACAAAAAAGAAAAAAAACCATTGGAGAATAAAGCTAAACCAGACTTTGGTCTTTCCGGAAAACTGGCCGAGGAAGTAAATACTTATAAAGGTGAGTGTTTGATTTTTTTTCTATTTTCATTAATTCAATATTAGTATTTAAAGCAGTAATTTATGTTGTACTTAAAACATTTTACCAAAGTAGAAATTGATAATTATTACTCTGACAACTTTGAGCTTCAATAATTTTTTTTTTTTTACGTTTTGATTTACTTGAGTTGATAAGGTATTTTTATATATAGGGAATTAAAAGTAAAAACAACAGTATAACTCTATTTATAATAATAATCATAATACTTTATTTATTCTGGGAATTATTGTGTCCCTCAGTATTGTATTGTGTTAGGAGCAGAATATTTGTACCGATCCTCACAAAATAGTACTTCGAGATTCATTAAATGGATTACAAATTGATTTTACATATTCTCAACTAGAAATGTTACAGTTGGTTTCTTATGGATAATTATTACGCTGTTTATAATAATAAAGAACTGAATTACTTATGAGAAACCACATTAATATTAGAATCTCCCGCAGCTCACTTTATTTTATAATAGAAAAAATCAGAGCTTTTTATTTCAAGTATCAACTTTTACTTTCTCTGAGTTTATGAAAATAATAAAAGCAATAATAATAAATTACTAAAAGCTTAGTTTTCTAAAAATAAATCTAATCAAGCTCAAAAAAAAATTGTTCCTCTAAAACTTATTTAAAAGCCTGATTTTTGTTAAGTATTTGGAATACTAAAGCACAAAACTACACTACTAGTAAACACAACTATTTTATTCATCATAAAAGATAACACTGTTATTTTAATAATTCATTTGTATAAAGGTTAATACAACTGAATCACTGATTAGTATAATCGATATATCACAATTTTCCCCTTTCTAAAGAATGTGTACCATAGTTATAAAAATAGCAAAATATTAAAACATTTAAAAAAAATATAAGAAATACATATAAGTCTTGTATAAAACTAAGAACACAAGTAACTGAGTCTTCTGCAGCTCTCAAGGAGGGCTCCCACTTCCATGACCGATTCTTTGGTTGATCTCTTGTTAATTTACAGAAATAGCCTCTTCTCTTATTTTTTTTTTCCATGTAGAAATCTGACTCTAATTGATATATATTGTTCAATTTATGTCTTTCTAATAGTTCCGAAGATTTGAGATTTAAGTGCTTAGACATTAAAGAAACAATTTCTTTAAATGAGAGGTCCTTTGGGTTTTTTTGTATTGCTAAATTTCTAATAAGAATGTAGGTTTCCGCACTCACCTTTATGAGCAGTTCCGGTACATACTTACTTTCTTCAATATCATGTGCAAGGAAATAAAGTTCTAACCTTTCAATAAAAGTGACCCAGTCATCCTCATGTAAACGAAATTCAATTTTACAGGTCTCCATCCTGTAGCTTGCTCCTTTATTCTTTGTTTTAACTTGGGGTACCTTTTCACAAATTTCCTTGCTTTCTTCTTTATTTTCACTTCTCAATTCCTGCACTAAAATTTGCCTTAACACTAATCATACCAAGACTTAATATATACCTATTTCTACCATAGCGGGCCAAATGACCCGACTTTATGTTTCATGCTTGAATGTATGAAATATGGATGTTAGGAAGGAAATAAAAATATAAATTAAATTTATTATGATTAAACAAAATAGTATGTTGAGCATTTCTATTACAAAAGCAAAAAATAAAAACTTTTAATTCATAGTTCATCGCAGTGGTGCTCTTCCAGGTTTGCCACTTACTTGCATTTGTTGCCAAACAGATCCATCATTCCCAACATTTTCTTCATTTATTTCTACTTCACTTTCTTCCGAACTTGTGAGTAATCTTATTCTTTTTCGGCCACTACATACATTCACAATATTTTCATCTTCATCGTCAGTATATGTAGAATCAAACTCATTTTTATTTGCATATATCTTCATTTTCAGAAAATTCATCTTCACTAATTTCTGAAAACTCTTCGCCAATATTATTTATATCTTCTAAGAACTTGTACTGTCTTGTTTGCTTCGACATTTTTCTGGGTAAAAAATGATCTGTATTACTATAGCTATCAAAATAAAATATAAGCTAGGTACTTACCAAGACTTTCAATTTTTGCCACTTTTTCTTACACTAAAAAGCTATTTTCAATCTAAAATTTTATATTTTCTTGAAATTATTCTGAGCTATTTTCGTTGATCTACTTTACGCAACAGTCTTTGGAAGAATGTGCAACTTACTGACTACAAATAGGACTAGATAATCTCATAAAACAAAAAAATTCTCTCCGGGTCGAATGACCAATGACCTGTTGTGGAAGATATCGGTATACAACAAGGATTACTCAGAATAAACAAAACAAAAATATTTTTATAGCTGTACATTAATTACTTAGAAAAAGTCATGAAGTCAAATGTGCAAATGCAATAAAATTATACGTGCATTTTCAATGGAAAAGTTCAAAATGGGTCATTTGACCCGTTATGGTATGTTTAGTGTTAACCTATCTACAGAATCAGCCTCATCAAAAACCAAACCTGATTCTTTTAGTTTTAAAACCAAGTCTTGTTTCTTTAATTCATACACCCACGAAGTACCTTTCTTCATTACTTTTATCCTCGTCGCCGAATGTTAAGTATTTGGAATACTAAAGCACAAAACTAAACTATTAGTAAACACAACTATTTTATTCATCATAAAAGATAACACTGTTATTTTAATAATTCAGTTGTATAAAGGTTAATACAACTGAATCACTGATTAGAATAATCGATATATCACAATTTTTACTCCAATTATTTTGTAGTCTATTTTCCTTCATGTATAACAAATAAATTTAGTTTTAAATTATGCATTATTAATATTTGTGTCCTCGGACATACTGGTCCAGGGAAAACTATCATTAGATAGAAAAATATCAGGGAATTTTACTTTCAACTGTCTAGTGTAGTGGCCACCCTGAATCAACTTTCCACACACATTATCTACAGTCAAACTATTTCTTCACTATTATATTAATATTCTATTTTCTTGGAACAAAGCCAATCTTCATACTTTAAAAAACTTAATCTTTGTACCTGTTTGTTTTTTTTTTTAGTTTTTATAATTTTTTTTTATTATAAATTCTCCAACCTAATGAAAGATCTGGGTAGTATATTATACAAATAATTAATAAATTCAAGAAGGAACAAAGGTTAGTTCAAAAATGATTAATACTAGTCAATTATTATTTTTTAAATTGGTCAGTTCCAGAAAACTAAAAGTTAAAACTTACAAAACTATGATTCTTTCTATTTTTTTACAGATGTTGTTAAAAAACGTCGTCCGTTATGTGAAAGGTTGGACAGTGAGAATCCTGAAAAAAGAAAAATCCTCAATAAACTATTTCAGAAGAAAAGTAAAGAACGAGGATATGTTCAAATTTCAGGACGTCGGTCCATTAAAAATAACTAAAGTAATACTAATTGTTACTGTTAAAAATGTGCATGTTATTTTTCTTTTTTTTTTCATTTTTATTAGAAATTTTCCAGATGTTCATCAAAAATAATATAAAATAGCAACCACAATTATTTAATGTTATTATTGACCGATATCCGGACCAACTTCTTTATTTGCTTAAAATGGTCAACCATAAAAAGATGATTATTTTTTTTTTAAATTATAAATCGATCCCTAAACAGTTAAATTAAATAGTAAACATAAGAATGGTAGACATATATGAAGGACGTCTTTTATGATTTAGGTTTTCATAGGGATCAGTATAAGGAGATATTTATATTAAAATAAACTTTTTAAAGAGAAAAAACATATCAATACTATTTATTATTTGTAATATATACATCAGGGTCAAGATCTGACTAGAAAACACTCGTTTGACAAGTGGTGCTCCTTAAAAGGACATTTACTAACCAGTAATGCAAAGTTCGTTATGCAATATAATTATTATTATGCTGTTGATAGTAATAAAGAAACTAAATTACTTATGATAAATTACATTAATATTAGAATCCATTAATAATAGCTCTCTTCATTTTATAATAGGGGAAATCAAAGTGTTATATATGTCATCAACTTTTACCTCCTCTCAGTCTATGAAAATAAAATAAAAGTTACAAAAATAAATTTATAAAAGTTTAGTTTTCTAAAATAAAAAGTTCTAATCAAGCTTAAACAATCCTTCCTCCTAAAACATTATATTTGATATTTAAAATACTGACTTTATTACTCAAATCATTTATTTGTAAATTTTCTAATATGTACAATAAATAAATTTAGTTATATAATTGGTAATTGGTTGACTGTCGTGGATAATGAAGAGAAGAATAGTTGGGGTGGTCAGTCAAAAAGGAAGGCAAAAATAAATGGCAATATTTATTTTTTACATATGCCGACGTTTCGACCTTAAGTTCAGGCCTTCATCAGGGCTAAGAAAATAACCAGATAACAAGGTATGAGAAACATAAGTAATGATGGTAAAAAAGATAATAATAAAGAAAAAAAGAAAAATAAAATAGATAAATATAAAGTAAAATGAAATTGTTAGAATAATGACTAAGAACTAAGAGATAAATAATAAAAGCCGTTACAAAGTGTGGAATGATAAAGTAGGCATAATCAAAAAGGGTGACAAAAGTGTTACAATGGGAATCTTAGAATAAAATGTAAAACATAAAAAAGAAATATGAAGTTATATTAGAAATGAAAATAAATAGTAAAATTAAAACATTGAGAATGGAGTAGTTAGATAGAAAATTGAGATATTGTAAAGTCTATCAAGATGTACAGACAATGTATAATATAATAAAGAGTTAAAAACAGAGAAAAGGAATGAAAGGAAGGAGGGAAGAAATTGAGAAAGCTGAAATAAGAAAGAAATAAAAGAAGTACTACCTGTCTCCTTAAGTGTCGCAGGGAGAATAAATAATTTAGTTATAAATTATACACTTTTAGTGTTCGTGTCCCTAGACATATTGGTCAGGGAAAACTCTGATCAAATAGGGAAAAGTCAGGGATTTTACTTTAACTGTCTGGTAGCCACCTTGTTATAAGTTTGGGCTTGCTTTGCCATATTATTTTATTTATTTGTAATCATTTATTGTTATAATTTTATCGATTCATATTCACTTATTATTATAGATTAAATATTGTTACATCTTTAAATGTTCAATTAGTATACTATTTGACGGTCTCTTACTTATTAAATGTTACTTATATCTTAAAATTCGAGAAGCTTTCAGTGTTCAGAGCACCATATTTATGTCATATAAAATTTATATACAACATTTACATGACAAATTTTGTGATTGGCTAATAAATAAAATCCTGTAACTTATATGTTTTATTGAAGCTCAAGGTTGTTTTGAAAATAAAAATAAAATATATATTCCACAGCCAAACTCTCATATATTGTACATATAGGTTCTTTAAAAAAAAAAGTTTAACATAGAGAAATTTCAAGATATTTTAAGATTGCAATTTATCATTCTTGCAATAAAAAAAAATTATTTTCGATAATTGAGTAAGGCACTGTACTCCTTTGTTATATTATCTGGTATATTTACCATGGTCTGATCTCTGTTAAATTGCTTCCTTGCACAATATTTGATAAATAAGTAATCCTTCCTTACAAAAAATTCCTATTATAGGCCAATATACTGAATGTATGTATCTTTTCTATTAAAAATTTAAAGATTTTTTTTTTCTGTTGGCGTTGCAGACCATCTAGATCTTTTGCCGCCTTAACAAACCTGCTCTATTGCACCTTTGTTGATTCTATCTATCCCTCTGCTTTTTGGTCTTTTGCCTCCTATTGAGGCATTCATTGTTACGTAGAGGCTTCCAGATGGATTGCTACAAGCTACATGCCCTGCCCATTTTAACCCCTGTGCCTTCATATCATAGAATATTGACTTACCAGTTTATGTAAGCAGTTCTTTATTGGTCCTTCGTCTCCATGTGTTAGTACTCGCTCTGGTTATCGTGCGGAGGATTTTTTTCTCAAATTTTTTTTCTATGGTGCTGGTTAGTGTCTAGGTCTCACAGCCATGTATTAGAACTGGCTTTATCATAGCATTGTGTGCTCCCTTAATTTGAGATTTTTCAGGAATTTCAATATCTTTGAAAGTGAGAAGAAAGCTCTGTTTGCTAACTAGTTATACACTGGTCTATTTCTGTCCGTTGGTCATTCATTGATATTATTATGGAGCCAATTTGAATTTTTCTGCTCTCGGAAATGATTTTCCTTCTATGCAGATCTTGTTATTAGGATGAAATTATCATATATTTTGTTTTGTCTTTATTTACTTGTAGGCCAATCTGCTCTACATCTCTTTCTTAGAGAGCTTCTCAATGTCTTCTTCACTGATGATTCACTCTGATGTGGACTTTTCCATTTTCCTGTGATTTTCTTATCACCTTCTGCAGGGCGAAGTTGAACATCGGTGAAAGTTAGCCTGTTCAATCTTTGAAGACTTCATAATATATTTCTCTTTGTATTAGGATTCTACATTTGGGGTCACTTGTTACATGCCTTTGTCAATCTCACCAATATAGGTAGTTTTGATATAGAGAGCTTTGACTGTGTATATAATATTAATATAAGTGTAATAATTTTAAAAATCTTTCTACAGCATCAATGTAATGCCAATGATCGGACTTGGCTTATTATTGGATATCTGATTATTATTTATCAAAAAATTGATGAACCATAAGTATCAGTGTTTCAGTTAGTAAATATTTTTTTTTTTATGATTAATAAATTTAACAGATTGATTTAATTTTCTATTCCATTAAAGGTGTCGTGATCAAATATTCCGAACCACCTGAGGCTAGGAAGCCGAAGAGAAGATGGCGGCTCTACCCGTTTAAGGGTGACAAAAGCCTGCCGACGCTGTACATCCATCGCCAGAGTGCTTACCTCATAGGAAGGGACAGGATCGTCGCTGACCTCCCGATAGACCATCCCTCCTGTTCTAAGCAGCACGCTGTCTTGCAGTACAGAGTCGTCCCCTACGTCAGAGATAATGGATCCAAGGTAGGCAAGATTCATTAGTTGGTTTTATTAAGTTAAAGATATATATATACATCATATATTACTAGTTAGCCTGTGAGAATATATCCCAAAGTTTATTGGTAAGTGACTAAATAGTAATATAAAACATGTAAATAAGTAAATGCAATGTATTACACTTCCCTATATTTATTATTTTATTTATTTACATTCCACCCTACCTTCCCTGATGGGCCATACGGGCGTTTGCAATAGTGGGCTGTTATGCATGACTGCATAACAGCATACTACTGCAAGTGAAACAGTTTAAAAGATTTTATCTTTGGTGACGTCTGATCCAGGGTGTCCGTCTCCCGGCAGTCTTCTTGGTGGTGGTCCTCTTCTCCGTGCTCCGATGTTGAAGTGGGCTGGACCCACTGCCTCCTTCCAGTCATAAATGAATTTCTTGAACTGAGGGAAGTTCTCCTTACTAACCAACTGAGGAAGTTCATCCTCTGTTAGGACGTAAATTCCTGCGGTTCTCATCAACGTTGCACTTATTCCTTCAAATGCAGTGCAGGACGTGACCACGTGCTCGACAGTCTCCAGAACTCCACAAGTGGGGCATTGGGGATTTATGTCCTGGCCAAAACCATGTAGCTTAGCTCGAAAACCCCCATGCCCCGTGAGGAACTGTGAAATCCAATAGTCCGGGAGGATCCACTTCCCAGGGGGCACTTCCCTATATATGAAATATATAGTATAGGAAAGTATTGCGATTGTGAAAATTTTCTAATCTCAGTTTTCAACGAAAAAACACGTTTTGAGGTCCCCTGAGTCCAAATAACAAAGGCCCTGCAAAATGGGGTCTGTGCGTGTGTGTATGTGTGCCTTAGCAGTCTAGCCCAAAAACGAAAAGTTATACGAAAGTGAAATTGCATATTCCTAGGTTTTTTTTATGCTTGGGATGTTACAGCAACTTTTTTCATCGAAAGTGGCACTTAATATAATCGATTTAATACATTTTTACGATTTCTCGAAAACGGCTCTTGCGATTTTGATTAAAATCATTATATCAGTGTAAAATTAAGCAGTTTTTAACAGAATGTAGGTTTTATTCTCATTGTTGTTCTTTAACAGGGCTTAAATAGCTAATTTTCAATATTAGCTTCCACTAAAGTACCTTTAAATTTTTTTTATTTGAAACTATTAACCATTTCACATTGATCTCTGATATAAAATATGAAAGAATTTGATAATTAACCTGAGAAGAAATAAGAGATCATAACGGAGAATAGTTGTAATGGAATATGTGGAATAGTCTCCATCCATGTTAGAGTATATCGAGATATACCATTTATGGTGTTAAAAATGAAGGTTACATAGTAAATATCATTAACAAATCATTAATATAAGATTATGGTTTATTAATTACAGTAAACCCTCATTAAAAGACACCCAAAGATACAAGAAATTCTTTAGTTTATTTTAAAACAAAGTTTGTAATATCAAAAAGTACTGCATTTTTTAAACATTTTAATCAACCATAAAAATAGTAAAAGTGGTGACTCGAGTGATACTAAACAATGATAATTTCTAATTTGTAAAAATCACGAAAAATGAGATAGCTTAATGACAATGAAAAAAATCGTGAGACTGATGAAATCAACGAACCATTCTCTTTATTTAAACCATTGTCAAGACAATATTAAAAATAATAATAATTATTATTATTATTATTTAGTTTAAGGGATGTGATAAAATCACAATCCTAAGATCCTTAAAAACTCTGATGTTGCAATTAGGAATAGAATATTACATCTTTTTCTAGTTCATTTGTACAAAGTTATTGCTTGGGTTGAACGGAATTAGGTCATTGAAACTCAAATGATAGTTTAACCTTCCTATTTATTCAGCCTCAATTTTTAAATTCATTGAAAAATGTGCAGTAAAAATATATTATAATACAGTTGTTGTTCATCATTGATAAAATAGATAACTGAGCTAGCAAAACCATAAATTATAAATTTTATAATGGATACTAAATTATCATTTTACCTAAAGCTGTGTTGTAGTTCATTAATATGATATATTTATTTATTAATATATATATAACTTAACTCTTATAACTTAATTATTTATATATATTTTTTTATTCTTAGGGTAACAGAGTAAGACCCTACATAATCGATCTAGAATCCGCCAACGGAACCTATGTCAATAACCAGAAGATAGAAACCCGAAAATACGTCGAGCTCCTGGAGAAGGATGTTATAAAGTTTGCCTACAGTTCCAGAGAATACGTACTTCTCCATGAACACAGCAAAGCAGATGTTGAAGACGACAACGTCGACATCCTCAACGATGACAATAACGAAGATTAGTTATTAAAAATGTTTTCGTTTATATATCTTCGCGTACTGAGTAGGCAAACAATGTACAAATATATAAGTTCACTTAATTTTTTTTCTCAGGAACTATGTCGTGTTGTCGACTTGATATCGAGTTTAAGTTAGCCATTCGATTATCTTACCAAGTTTTTAGATTAACTGAAGTGAACATATATAATTTTATTATTATATATCTAAATATATTTTAAATTTATTCTTTTATTATGACGAAATATATCTTAAATCGATGGATTTATGGAACCAGAGTTGTTAAGATTTGTTCAGTGGGGAGAAAGAAAATTTTACTTAAATTTTAGTTTATTTAGTTAATGTCTTTGGTTATGGATATTTTTTATACGTTTGTTGCCATAACCCTGTATATTGAGATGAATTTTGTGCGCACTGTAGGCAATAACGAGAAACTACAATGTATATTACAATATTCTTTTGTTTGTTTTTTTTAATTTTCAATTCAATGTTGTACAATTTTTGATTTTGATGGAATACTTTTATTATGCATTTTTTATTTATTGTATAAAATTAATGTTTGATTTAATAAAAATTGTTTTTTAAAATAATTATTGTTATTTTATGTTTCACCCTTTTGTTTGAATGGTCACCATTTTCAATTGGAAACATTACCTTGTAGTATTTGTTCCGATTTTCATGAGCTTACAATGCTCATTGAGTGTGGTTTATTATTTATATTTTTAACTTTGGTCAAGTGTATTTGACTTCTGATTCTGACCTTTGGAAAATAAATTTTCTTTATTATTTTAAAATACAAAATATTTTAAGTTTCTCTTTCTGGTGGATGATCTCCCTATAACACAGGGAAACTACTCTATTTGGTAATTTATTTTGTATATTTCAAACAAATAATAAAATAAATTTTTATAACTATCTTGGAAATAATTTTTTTTTTGTATTTAAAAAATACATAGTTACAAACAATTTATTTTATAGTTCACTTTCTAAAATACAGAATTAAAAAAAAAAAAAAAGATTTTATTTATTATTTAAAAAAATGAAAATAAGTTGGTTGGTTGGTCATTTGGCCACAAAATATGCAGGACATCAGCACCCGATCAACAAAATACTACTACTTTTGGACTATTTAACTGGTAGATTTAAAAAAATAATAAAATAATATTTTTTAAATTATAATAAACAGTAGTAAAGGATTGGCAGTAGATCATTAATTGTAAACTTCATGCAAACTGTTTATTCACACACAATAGAAGATTATTTCCTAATTTTCATATTTTAAAATAGGTTTTAAAATTTTGCCATTTAATCAAAGAAATCGGGCCATAGTTTGGAGATTCCTGATGTAGACCATTGTTTCAAATTATATTTATCTTATTCAATTCCTGTCAGAAGTACTATTTTATAAGTGTTACTCCACTTTGATGGGTATTGACAAAGTTAGTTTGGTATAAGTTTGTTTAAATAGCCATTTATGATTTAATTAAAATTGAGGATTTAATTACAATGGTGTTAAGTTTCAATTTTTTATATATTTATTTATATGATATTTACAACTGTATACAAAAAATACATCTAGTAAATTCGCACATGGATATAATGACATGAAACACATGTTGAGAAACTACCCAATGGTAGCACTCTAATAATATGTCTATATTATGAGATCACGTGGCCATCTCCTTTTCAGATGCCTCAGAGGGTTATCAGGAATTGAATAGGAAGCAAGGTTAGAAACAAGAGGGTTGGGATGGTTATGAAGTTTGTTATGGAAGGATAGGTATCTGGATTCGGCCAAATCGGAAACATATGAAACATTGAGGTCTTTATGGATTATTTTATTTGTGACAAAGTAAGGAGCATTGAGGATTTTACGAAGGATTTGATACGAGAGGAATTTGATGGTTTAGTGGAGCCCCATAGCTCAACTCCATAAGTCCAAATAGGTCTTATTATAGTCATGTATACGAGTCGTTTGTAATTAATGGGAAGTTTAGAGTGTTTGTCCAGTAAGTGTTGGAGTAAGCGGAAACGTCGAGCAGTTTCTTGTTGTTTCAGTCTTGTATGAGGATTCCAAGTGAGAGGTTTGTCCAGCTGGAGTCCAAGAAGTTTCGATTTAAAAGTGTTTTTATCTTAGTCTATATCACACTTTTTTAGGTAATTTAATTTAACATCTAACATTTCATAATTTCTTTTTGTTTTTTATTTAATATTACTTTTATTTTTAAAAAATGGCAAAATATATTTTGTCACAACCCCAGTCCGTTAAGAAGCCACCTTCATGTTTTACTGTTGGTTGCCAACATTCATCCAGATCTTCTGTAGCATATTGCTTCCTTCCGAAGCCAAACATTTCAAATTTTGACTCGTCTCTTCATAAAAATTTGTTCCGTTCTTCTTCCATCCAATTTTTGTGTTCTTTGGCAAACTTGGCAGTAATTTTATATCACTAAAAAAGATGACATTTTACCATTTTCTGAATAAAAGTAACATCATTAAATAGAAAACAAAAAGAACTTTTGAAATTTAAAATTAAATTACTGAAAAAAAAGTGAAGAATATTAGAACAACTTTCTTTCACTGATACACTAGAGTTATACAATGGCTCTTAACTTTAAAAATAAATTGTAAAGACTGAATTGGATAATAAATCAGTGAAATATGAACAATAAAGCAGCATAATTCAGAGGACAAAAAGACAACGCAACGGATTGGTCCCTTGGCTTGTTATCAATTTAAAATAATGCTGATTTAAAAATATTCATGATAGATCTGGGTGATAAATATTCATTTTATCAGGGCAAAAATAAAAATTTTTAAAAAAGACTGCATCCTAAATATTTATCAACCATGATATGTAGAACAGTCGACTAACTTCCTTCAAGAATTCATCAAATCACTGGGACCTACAAGATTACACGTCGTTGCTGAAATCCACCACATCAGAGATATGAACTTTCAGAACGCTGACAACGCCATCTCACAACATACATCAAGAAAAACATGTCATCCTGGCCTATCTCAAGCTCTACACCGCTCGCACTCAGCTTATTCGCCATCCTCTCCTACAATTCATTCTGTTCTCTCTCCAGATACTTCAAACACCAAAACAGAGGTAAATTGCTTTCCATTTCTCAAAACTACATACCCCTCCCAAAAATCTGTTATAAATTGTTTTTCCCAATTACACAAAAAATTAGCACATAAAGAAAAATTGTTAATCTTCCTTCTAAAATGCAGATCGCATTCTTTATTTCCAAATTTTATCACTAACAACACCAACGAAGTCAAAAATAACAAAAACTTCCTTTCTAAATTTAACATCACATTTTGTTTCAAAAAATCAACTCTCAGCCTGCACATAAAAGACACTGGGCAAAAATAAAAAATTTAAAAAAGACTGCGTCCTGAATATTTATCACCCATGATATGTAGAACAGTCGACTAACTTCCTTCAAAAAAAAATATATATCGTCTGCAAGGTTAAATCATTTTTAAATTAAGAAGATAAAAATACTTTTAAATTGAAAGATTTATCATTTTACAAAAAAGATGTTTATTCAAAGACTTTTTCACAGCCCAGTACATCACTGATTTCGACTTTAGCTTGCTCTAAAAAGATATACAAATCTACAATAGTTCGATTTCAGTTGTGTTTAAGGCTTTGCCTGAACGTTTTTCGTTCAGTCCAGAGGGCTTTCGGGCTGTAGCCCTACTCCCTCTTCCCAAAATGATAAAATATAACCATGTCTTATGAAATAAATATTAATAAATTATCTCAAAAAGTAGTATTGTTCGTGTAATTACATTTAATAGGACTTCAAGAATCACTTAAATACCACTCCATATAGGTAGTTAGACAGTTTCTTTATTTTTTCCAAAAATAATAATCATTATATATATATATATATATATATATATATATATATATATAAAGCTTTCGGGATGAAGCTCTCCCAAAATTAAATTCTGGATCTGGTGCTACTTACCGATGTGGAGCATCACTTGTGAAGAATTATCTCATTTTTACTCGAGTTCACATACATTTATTGTATCTGTTTTGCTATCATAAATAATAATATTCTCTGAAAACAGTATGACTAAATGCTACAGCCATAAGAGTTTGAGAGAATAATGGTCTGTTGCAGGGGGCCCCACAAAGGGGTTTCATGGCGCAAGGTGCGCCATCAAAATTATTGAGGGGGGCACATTTCAATGGAGTTATGTATTTTCGGATCAAAAAGTTACAAACCAGAAGACAAGAGAAAAGCTTAATACAGATCACTGACGGTGTAATTAAATGTGACCTATGATTTTTAAAATTTTACTTTAGCTTGCACTGTTTTTAAGAAGATAAGATAAATAAAATATCTTAGGAGGGGAGGAGGTAATGCACTATTGACCTTGGGGGGATGGGCTAACATAAAACTAAACAGACTGACATTCAGCAAAATCTTTCAATTATTATTTTGGAATTGTTAAGTAAGAACTCATATGTTTTGAAAAGGTTTTAATTTGTATTTACAATAATTATACAAAATAAATGTCATATATATATATATATACATGAATGATTTATAACATGTAGTAGTTTCATTTAAGTCCATCAAATTTAAAGCCTGAAAGAAAAAAAAGACAAAAACATTAATATTTAATTTTCATAAAATAATGGTTATTTTTATTCATTTTGATTTCTTATTTTAAATTAATTATTATTAAATATTAGTTCATCAATATTAAAAAAATGACTAGTGTATAACAAGTGCTAACAGAACTTTCTTCTATCTTTCAAAATTATTAAAATCCTGAAAAATCTCTATAAATATCAAATTTAATTTATACAATGCTAATTGGTAAATATGCTGAGAGCCATATACTCAGTTGAATTATTAAACATTCAAAATAAAAAATTATTTGTAAAAATGCTACTGAAAAGTTAAAATGTAATTAATTTTCTCTTGATATTCAATCTATATTGAGCTCAAAATTCAACCAAAACTTTAGAAAAATAAGTAGCTTCATTAAGGGTGAATATTATATAAAAATTAAGAGACCAATAAGAAAGCATAGAATAATCAGCCAACCAAAGAACTTAAAGGTTTCTTCTTAAGATTTTCAAAATAGTTTTCTAGATAGAAGCTCCCAATGTCCCATTTGTAATGCACGTGAAACAAAAGATTTATAACATTTTTTGTTGCATTGTCCTACATATGAGGCTTTTAGAAGTAAGTATTTAAGAAAATATATTGATGTATTTCTGACTAAATATATTGGTAATTCTGACGATAAAGAACAAATTATTATATATAGAAAACAAATATGAATTAAATGATTTATACTGGTATGTAGAATATTGTTTAAAATTAAGAAATCTTTTTTTATTTGTTCAAGAATGAATAGTTTTATCATTAAGTTTAATGTTTAGGTTATATATAAATAATAATATTAGGACTTGACATTATATTTTATTTTGTTAAAGATAATTTGTATTGTTTATAACTATAATTGTATCAAATATAGTTGTTTTATTTTTATTGGTTCTTACTATTAATGTATTTGAGCTTAACTCCATTTGGATGGGTCCGCACGAAAACAAATAAAATTTATTTATCATTTATATTACCAATGGTATAATAAAGCCAGTTCTGATATACGGCTGTGAGACCTGGACACTAACCGGAATAATAGAGAGAAGTATTGAAATATTTGAGATAATAATCCACCTAACGATGACCATAGCGATTTCGGATCAGAGTACTGGAGGAGGACCAATACAGAACTGCTTACAGAAACTCATGAAATAATACCTCATAGTATGAAGGCAAAGAGGTTAATATAGGAGGGGCATGCTCGGAGTAATCCATGAGGAAGCCTGTACACAACAATGAATGCTTCAATATTAGGCAAGAGACCATGTGGAAGGTCAAAAACCAGTTTGAATAGGTCAAATCAACCAAGATGCTCGCCGATCTGAATGCAGGAAACTTGAAAGCAATAAAACAAGAAAGTTATAGACAGAGATGGCTGGTTAAGACAGCAAAAGATTTACGGGCCCTGTTAAGCTAATCGAAAATAGTAAAAAATTAATAATGGTAAGAAGATGATTAGCCGTGATTATAATATGAGAAGGAATCGGTCGGGAGTGCAGTCAAATTAAATACTATATATTACAATAGTATTTTATTAATACATTGTTCCGAATCCTGACCTACATAAGTGATTCTTGGACCCTAAAAAGGAAACGTAAGAGCCAACTACAAGTGATGGAGATGCATTTCCTCCGTAGGGTCGAAGGTAAGACAAGGAGAGACCGATTGAGGAATACCACTGTCCAATCCAACCTGGGTCTTCAGGATGCATAGGAAAAAATGGATTACCAACTGAGGTGGTTCAGACATGTCCCTCAGATGACACAAGACGGATTAGCAAGGCTCACTTATGAGACGCAGGTAGGAGATAAAAGACTTAAAGAGCAACCCAGGAAGACATAGAAAAGTGGAATAAAGGAGGCCTTTGACCAGAGAGGATTGAATTGGTCAAGAAGAAAGCAATTGGTATAGGAAAGAGACGTGTGGATCAAGCTCTACAGATGGAAGTCTCACACTGCTTAGCGGTAGACAAGGATGGATTAAGTAAGCATTTTATTAGTTATGCCGACTCAAAAAGTACACAATTTTTGTTTGTTTATACCCACCATTTTTTTTTAAAGCTTCTTTGATTCCCTGGAAGAAAAAAAATCACTAAAATCGGACGATTTGCTGCAGAAATATAATGCTTTAAGCATTTAGTAATTTTTTGTGGGAGATTTAGAGACTGATTGCTTCTTATATAGACAATAATATATTGTAAATTCTAGAGTTGGAATACCAGACAATCTCTATATCTGCAAAGAATATCGCATATTCACAAGTATTGTTACATAAAATATATTAGAAAAACCTAATTTCTTTTCTACTTATTTTTTTATTTAACCAGAATGAGCCACAGCAATGCGTGGCCAGGTATAGCTTGTGTTCTATAAATAACAATCACTATTTTATGGCATAACTATCAATACTCTGGATAATGGATGTAACAATTACATCTTACCATTTAACTTATGCTGTGCTTACAATCAGCAATTCTATTACCAATCAGGCTTTTTCACCACGGTACTTCCCATCATCAAAGATTCCAGCAGCTTCATCAGCAGCGTTCTTGGCGAGTGCATCCAGGATCTGCTGAGGTACTGGAGGTGGTACAGGAATGTGGTCGCCCTGAGCAATGAAACCCCCTTCGCCTGCTGAGTAAGACAATACTATTGTTTGTCCTTCAGGGGAAACGTAAGAATATGTTCCTTGGGCAGAAGTTCCAGCTTCTGGACCAGCAACGCTTCCAGTCTCTTGAGCCTGGATTCCATTTTCTCCCTGGAAACTTGGAGAAAAAATATCCCTTTAAAATTCATATTGTTAAAATCATTTTACTTTTATTTTTTGTGTTAGTAGTTTTATACCTTAATAGAGCTACACTTTTTCTCTTAGATATATATCTAAATATTTACTAATCAATGGTAGGGTATTCATTTTTGAATAATTACTTGTAAGCGTAGGTCCCATCGCCGACGACTGGCTGGTTGGAATAAGAGAGGATGGCCACTGGAGGTGAGGCAGGACCTGAGTAAGCTGGATTGTTCCCTCCTGTTCCTGCAAGACAAAATTAATTAAAATATTTAATTTATGGAGGGAATGAGCCACATTAATTCAGTATAGAAAACATATCAACACCTTGTGGTTACCATTAACAAATCTTAGTATTTATTATATGAGGCGTTTATAATATAAACCTGCTAAGTCCAAAAAATTAAAAACTAAAAAAAAAAAGTTTAAACGATGTTTTATCTACTGGCCTTATTTTCTGAGTCGAAGCCAGTTAAATCAGCCTCAAAATAACATTTAAAAGTCAGCTTTCAAATCAAAATCTGCTAAGTCCATAGTTCCACGGTAGATCGCTAGGGGCGCTAGGTAACCAGCGTTGCCGCGCGCTCTGTGACAAATCCTCGTACTTCAAACGTCGTAAGCTTGCTCATTAAAAATTCGCTCAACTGTAGATTCAATGTTATTGTTTCGTTTTTTTAAAGTCAAATTAGATCAGAGCTTTGCTTGTTATCTATATTCATTTTAAAGCGTTTTTACATTATTTTTTATTTTTTTAAAAGTTAATGAGCCAAGAAGTAAAGTGAGTTTAATTAAAGCCACGAAATTAAATATATAAAAAAGTGCATATATTTTTAAAAACTATTGCAAAACATTTCATAAAAATTAAATAGCAAAATAAACTTTTTAAAGAATACAATATTGCTAACATCATTATGACTTCATCGAAGTTCGAAACTAGGTAAGATATAATTCAAAATAATAAATATTAATTTTTATTGTTAAATTTTTATTTTTATTCTGCTTACTTAGAAACTATTTAAATGAATTATACAACAATCATAGTTTTATGAAGGAAATAATTAACATACTTTCTTATATTTTATATTCTATACAAATCGAAAATATTTTTTTAAATATTAGGGTAAAATTTTTTTTAAATTTTGTTCTATAGAAAATTAAAAAAGAAATACATTCACATATAATCACAGTGTCATGAAGGAAATAACAATCATACTGTAATTAAAATAGATATAATCGCAATTTATTTGTCTATATAGCAAAAGAAGTTAAGTATTACATACCGTTGTACAGACCCCTTTTCATCAAATTATTAACATCCGGCTGAAACATCGTAAATAATTTCATCTCATCGTAACCTACAAATATTTTATTTACGAAAATTCTCGGAATCAGGGCGTTTTCAATCTGGAGGTCGGCAAAGTTTGTCTATTTAATTAGGTACTAAAAACTCCTAAATACCCATTTTCTTTTTACTTTAATCATGAGTTAACTTAAGCAAAAAGTCGAGAAAAAAGGTGGCCTTAAAAAATATTCAGCAATTCGGCCTATATAACCTCGTTATTTTGACAATTTGGGTATAAAACGGCTCAATGTTTTTGAAGGCCACCTTTTTTCTTGACTTTGTGCTCAAGTTATCTTACGATTAAAGTGGAAAGTAAACGGGTATTTATGAATTTTTAGTACTTAGTTAATAGAAAAAGTTTGGCGATCTCCAGATTGAAAAATCCCCAATTTTTAGAATTTTCGTAAATAATATATTTACGAATATGTATAATATGTAGCTCGTAGCAATCCATCAGGACGCCTTTACACGACAATGAATGCCAGAGTAGTTGGAAAGAGACCACGTGGAAGGCCAAAAATCAGATGGATAGATAGGATAAACAAAGATACGGCTGAGCTTCATGCAGCAAATTGGAAAGCAGTAGCCCAAGATAGGCAGAGGTGGAGAAGGCTGGTTCAGGCGGCCAAAGATCTACAAGGTCTGTAGAGGTCAACCGAAAAAAATATATATATTGACATATGGCTCTGAGGCTTGGACGATGACGAAAAGTGATGAGATGAAGCTGAGTATGTTCGAGCGAGGAGTCCTCAGAATGATTTATGATCCAGTAAAGGAAGGTGATGTCTGGAGGAAAAGACAAAGTAGGGAGCTCAGTTCTCTTCATACAGACATCGACGTAGTCACGTATATTAAACTTGCCAGACTAAGGTGGGCAAGACATGTGGCCAGAATGAGCACCGTTGAAATACCCAAGAAAGTAATGATGGAGGAGCTGCACCTCGCAAGACGGGTAGGAAGGCCGAGGACGAGATGGTTGGACAGAGTGCCAATGAATCCTGCTTGGTGTACGGAACTGGAGAGCTGCAACAGAAGACAGAGCCAACTGGAGGAGGCCCAGTCTCGGTAACGGGATGTCGCGCCACATATGTGTGTATATATAGCAACTATATAAACCATTAATTACTTTGGAATAAAAAGAAAGAAACTATATAAAGTGGTGTATCAGTGATTCTCGAAGTCCTATTAAATTTAATAAACACGAACAATAATGCTTTTAGAGATCATTTTTTCATAGGACGTAGTTATATTTTACCATTTCGGGAGGGGGCCTTCAGCCCGAAAGCCATCCCCCTCTTCTCTCCAACCGAAGATCCTATTACTTATACTCAAACCATCTCGGCAATGGCATTTCAAATTTGAGGCCACAAAACTGTTTATATTATAAAGCTTAGGGTTTAGTGAGTATAAGGATTTAATAATGGTCGTCTTAACGTCCATAACCATGACAACCATGTGAAAGCCTCACGTATCCACTTTATCATATCTAACATATGTTTTATTAATAAATAATCAAAACATTTATTATTGATGTATACAATTTAGACGAACAGACTATAAAAAAACCCAATGACATTTCTAAATAAACAATAGACTATAGATAATTAATAAAATTTAATCTAAGGAGTAATCTAAACTTAACTATTTATAAAGGAAGGAGATGGTCCGGGGTTGCGGTCATAAATAGGCTAAATAGTGGTAAAACTGGATTACGAAAAAGCATTTGACTCCCTAAAAACCGATTCTATCATAAATATGTTGAAAAAGAGAAACATTAGTTCAAGAATATGCAAGATACTGGAAGATATGTATTCGAGATCCAATGCAGAATATAAATCAAGAAATACAACAGTAAAAATAAAAAGAGGTCAAGAGAAAACTTTGGATGAGCACAGTACTTCCTGTCATGACATATGGTTTTAAAACATGGGCAATTGACCAGAAGACCTGCCACAAATTGAGGATAACCGTCAGAGGAATGGAGCGATATCTTCTGGGGATAACTCGAAGGGATAGAAAAACAAACAAATGGATCAGAGCTAAGACTGACTTTCCAGATATTGTGGAAAAAGTGCTCATCAGGAAGTGGACCTGGACCGGACATGTAATCAGGAGGAATGAATTAACATGGACCAGGCAGTTTATGGATTGGTATCCAAGAGAGCACGTGAGGAAGAGAGGACGTCCGCCGACAGACTGGGACAAGGAGATGAAGAAGACCTGCGGGGGAGCAGCCTGGAAGAGAGTAGCATTGGAAAGGAAAGAGTGGAAAAGGATGGGTCAGGTTCATTACCTAGTGTGGTTACAAGAAAGTTAAGTATAAAAAAAAAAAAAAGAAATCGAACTCAAAACCTCAACTAAGTTGATTTTGTACATATAAGAGATTTTGTATATTTTTATCCATTGTTTTTTCATTGTATGCACAAATAAAGGTTATTATTATTATTATTATAGTGGTAAAGCTATTTTATTGAAAGCTAACGTTTCGACCCGACTTTGCAGGTCTTCATCAGAGCTAGAACGGACAAGATACAAAAAGATAAGAACTGTGGAAGTTACATAATATTTGAAAAAAAAAATTATAAAAAATGTGATTAAGCTTATTAAAATTATAAACAGTAAGTACATTAAAATATAAACAGAGTAAGCTAAGTAACAAGATCCCAAACTGAAGTAAATAGATGCTAACAATTGTTGTAGTGTAATATATAATAAATGAAAATGTGAATATATTTCTACAAAATCTACGGGAGAGATTGAAAGAAAAGGAAAAAGGATATAATATGAAATAATAGGCATAAAGGAATGCGGAGAAAGAAAAGAAAAAGGAAACTAAAATTAGATAAATAAGTAAATAAAACAAGAACTTACGGACTAACCTAAAACTGACGTAAAATTTACTACTAATATAAATCTGAATAACTTACAAAAGTACCAAAGACTTTATCCATATAAGTCCGCTTCTTCCAGCAGTTACAGAGATAGAGAGAGAAGAGAGAACTATCGTTTCCTCCAACGCACGTAGGTCTCTTCACCTATTCCAATCACTGTTCCCTTCAATCTCCTAAAAACATATGACTCTCTCTCTCTCTCTTTACACTGCCTTAATGCGCATTCACTGCCACATAAATTAACTCTTTTGTTTTGTTTACTACAAAGCATAATATTATACAATTATATAGTAGATGATATGATATGAGACTAACCAGAGTAAGTTGGTTGAACTGGCCCAGCCAGGAACTGCCCACCGCCGGCGTCGGCAGCTCCCCTTGGCGACTGCTGACCGGCCCTCAGCTTGGCTCCTTCGGCCGCCACCACCAGGCTCACCAGCATCAGCTAGGGCCAGAGGCATTTAATTAATTAAGTTATAATATTTAATTTATTTAGTTATGATATTTAATTTATTTATTTATAATATTTAATTTATTTATAATATTTAATTTAGTTAGAATATTTAATTTATTTATAATATTTAATTTATTTATAATATTTAATTTATTTATAATATTAAATTTATTTATAATATTTAATTTATTTATAATATTTAATTTATTTATGATATTTAATTTATTTATGATATTTAATTAATTATACTATCACTCTTATGAATTTTTTTTCTGTTATTATTTTATTTATTTATATTTTATGTAATTTGCACCTGCATCTAGCAAATTTGTTGTGTTTGTACTCTCTTGGTGTAATTGCTTGATTTGGTTTCTATTGATACAGTAGATCTCTTGGCCATTTTCTTCTTAATCTGCGTTGTTCAGGTAACAGGGAGCAGGAGATAGAAAAAACTAGAGGATTGGAGTTGAAGAATGAAATGTAGTGTATTTGTCGTGGATGTAGGATTTTACTGGTGGGGTGTTTAAGTCGTTATGTATAGTAGTATGTGAAATGTACCAAGGTGCGTTAACAATTTTTCGTAAAATTTTTGATTGTACTGTTTGTATTTTGTTTATGTGTGTTTGTTTTGCTGAACCCCAAAGTTCTGCTCCATATGACCATATTGGTCTCAGAAAAGTGTTGTAGATCAGTCTCTTTATCTTTATCCGGTTCAAAAAAACAAAAGGAGTTACGAAGTCTTAATGAGCTTTAAAAGGTTAGTTGTAAGATTTAAAGTTTAGCTTCGTTAAAAATTCAATTCGAAAACTTTGTAATAGCCCAAGTTTTTAAGAAAATTGTTTTTATTCAAAGTAGAACGGTGAGTGAAAATTGTGTGATACGCTCACCATTTAAATAAAAGTAAATAATATAATTTGGTAGGTCCTAGATTTTGTTATGAATTAATCTTACGATTAATGACATTTTTTTTTCCTAGCCCCTTTTTATTTATTTTTGTCTTGAATCCTTGGATTTTCATTGTCTTTATAACAGTCCTTTTACTGCTTAAAAGCATTGTAAGGTGTATTTTTTTTTTTTTTCGTTTCTGAGTATTTTGTAATATAAAAGATGATGGGGCTCACATCAGGCTTGAGTTGACCTTATCCTCTAGAGCTTACAACAAAATTAATAAAACATCGATATCATGTGATTTGTTGTCAACGTTTTTGAATTTTGGCTGGTAATAAGTTGTTAAAAAGAGAGTTGTTTTTTGCCAATTGTTGGGATTTTTCGAAAAATGATTTTTTTCGTTTTGCGAAAAATTCTCTTATTGTTAATAAATTTAATGTTTCTTGTATATCCAATGTCTTCTTTCTCTGCAGCGTGGTTCCTCTTACAATTTTTCTAATTATTCCATTTTGAACATATTGCAATCTTTTTCCAGTTGTTTTGCTGAAATGTTCGAACAGAGGTGTATCATACAACAGAGCCGGTCGTATTATACTTGTATAGACTAGAAGCTTTAGGCGTAAAGACAGGTTTGTTGTCCGAATTAAATTTTGGATACTGTACTTCTTAGATCTTACTGTTTTATTTTTTTTATGACAATTGGATATTTGTGAATTTTTAATACATCATTAAGTTAATTAATTAACTGAGGAGCCATAGATTACGATAAAATGATGCCACTCACTAGCAGTATCGTTGTCAAGCAATAATTTCAGACCTATTGCGTATTCATACCCTTAAATGAACGTATCTCGTTTCCGCTCTTAGCCAAAGAAGATGGCTGTTGGGCAAGATGTACGAAGAAGTAAAAGGTAAGTTGCAAGAACTGGCTATCGTGGAGGCTGTGACCTCTGAACTCTGGTTATGGAATTCCTCGGGGGCATTTTTGACGTGTTCCTTCAGGAACCGATCCTGCCATCGCGGTCCCGGTCGAAGGACGCTAAAGGTTAAGGATGGTTAAGATTAGGAATCGAGGTCACCCTGATATTTATTACCTCGTTGGGTTCTTTAAAGTTGGCGAAGAAAAGATTATCTTCAAGATTTACAGTAGAATAGAATAACAATAACTTATTTCACATCTGCTGATCGTTGGTGTTTGATATATGCTGCAACCAAGATTAAGGAAGCATTGTAAAAAACAAATATAACCAGTGTTGCCGTTTGTACGAGAATCCTCGTATTTGTACGAGGTTATGACGTAATGTACGAGGTACGAGGATAGATCAGCCTCGTACCTCGTACATAAGCTTTGCTGACGTTTGCAATGCAAGGTTATATTATTATGAATGAAGTTTAGAATTGTTTTACGATTATTTTGACTGTATTATTATTTATATTGATATGAAATACTGAACTTCTGTTGCTTTCTAGACAAATAAATTGCAATTATATCTTCCTTAATTAGAGTATGATTATTATTTACTTCACAAAACTTTGTATATATATAAAATTTGTATATATATAAATGTTTTTTTTTAATTTTCTAGGAATAAAAAAAAAAAGAAATATTTTAGATTTTATTCAGTATAAAATAAAATATAAGAAACCATATCCATTATTTCCTTCATAAAACTTTTTTATAAATATATATATTTTAAAATGTGTTGTAAAAAAAAATTAATCAGAAATTTTTACCGTCATTTTTATCGAGCATAAAATAAAATACGAGAAAGTATATCCATTATTTCCTTCGTAATTATTATTTCTTTCATAAAACTGGAATTGTAAATATATTCTAGATAAATTAATTTTTCTTTAATTATTATCGTAATTTAAAAAAAAATATTTTCGATTTTTAATCGAGTAAAGTAATCAATTGAAAAATTAACTTTACATAATGAACCCATCGTAAATAATGAAAAAAAAAGTATTTTTTCAGTGGTCCACATTTATTTTGTGCGAGATATAAATACTGAAACAATCACAATCTATTCATTTTTTATATTATAATGGATATCTCTAAAAGCATCAATGCCCCAATAATTAATTTTTATTGGCCTTCCAGAACCACTAACATCCTTTCATAAAAGTAGTTGTTTAGTTTTTAGAAAAATGAAAAAAAATTAGTCCTTCCCCCAAATTAAATCTTGGATCTAGTGATGAATACTTATGAAGAGTACTTTAAGAAGTTTATTTAGCTTTTTTAATTTTTATATAACGTGTTCAGTAGTTTATAAAAATATATAAACTTTTTTATATATTTTATTAAGCTAATTTTACTTCTTGACCCATTAACTTAAAAAAAAAGTAATGTAAAAAGGCTTTAAAATATATGAATGGAGGCAAAAATAAAAAATTCTGATCTAATTTTACTATAAAAAAAACAATAACACTGGGCTTATAATAGTAAAAGTTATGAATGAGCAAGCGTACGAGGATGTACGAGGCTTGAGTACGAGGTTTTGTCACAGAGCGCGCGGTAACACTGAATATAAGTCCTCTCTCTTTTGTTTTCTGTGACTGATTGTTAATTCCTATTTTAGCATGTGCATGTGCTCTTACATCTTATATCTCTTTTATCTTGACTATCTTTTCTAGATGTTTAGATGTGGCATGCCATACTATTGTATATTGAATAAGTATCTTTTTTTGTTATTTTTATTATCTTAAATATTTTCCTATTTATCTTAATTGTATATATTAATTATGTTTAAATTCTCTCTTTTTCCTTGTATTTTATTTCTTTTTATTGTACATAGTATTAATTCTGTAAATATTTCTTTCTGAAAATAGATCTATTAACCTTTTTGCTGCTCATGGTAGAGTAAATATTTAATGATGGCCAAATAAGGGGTAAGTACTTTATATTTTCTAGATTTATCTCTTTAGGCATGAAAGGCTCTTAAAGCCAAGGGCCCAACAAATAAAAATTCCTATGGAAAATTATATTTATTAAAAATTATTTTATCTTTTTATTTATACTTCCTTGTTTTTTGGTCATAATGCAATAGAACCTCAATATCAAGCTATTCGTTATATCACAGATTAAGACATAACGTGAAATTAATCATTTATTAGTTTTAAAATAAAATGATATACATATATACTACTCAATGTTCTTGGAAGTAATCAAGAGGGCATCGAGAAACTCGCTAAGACTCTGATAAGAGAGGTATCGGAGTCTTATTAGTAGCCTCAGAGTAGATTGGCCTACAAGTAAATGAAAACAAAACAAAATATATGATAATAAGCCGAAAATTCCACCCCAATAACAGGATCTGCTTAGAAGGAAAATCATTCTCGAGAGCAGAAAAATTCAAATACCTCGGCGCCACAATAACCTCAATAAATTACCAACGGGCAGGAATAGACCAGCGTATAACTAGCACAAACAGAGCTTTCTTGTCATTTTCATAGATATTAAAGTCCCAAAAAAATCTCAAATTAAGGGTCTACATATATGGAATTGCTAAAAAAACTCACATTTAGAAATTACAAATATTTCAGGCCAAAACTTTCCGAACAATTACTCAAGCACCTTGGTATGTTAGTAACATAACTCTCCGCAAAGACTTACACATGCAAATCGTCACAGAATACATACAAACTTATTACAAAAAGTTTCACAACAAGCTTTATGGTCACCTCAATAGATTCATCCAAGACATGGCCAATAAAAACATGCCCGATAACATCCACAGAAGGCTGAAAAGGAGTTGGATGAGAGATCTCCTTAATTAACCACAAACATGACCGAAGATAAACCACTGGGTTTTTCTCTTCCTCATGCCTATCATGCCCTTTCTCCTAGTCTATTTGTACAGTTATCTCATTCACTGGTTGTCAGTGGACATTGACAGTTGTGAATTAAAAAATAAAGAGGAAAAAAAAGGTGTACAATGCTACGATAAAGCTAGTTTTAATGTATGGCTGTGAGACTTGGACACTAACCATCACCTTAGTAAAAACTATTGAAAGATTTGAGAGGAAAATCGTCCACACGATAACCGAAGCGATCTGAGATCAGAGATCTAACACATGGAGAAGAAAAACCAATAAAGAACTG